GATTGTGTCGGCTGAACGAAGAGCTGGATAAAAATACTTTGCTGAAGAACATGAAGCGTGCCTTCGTGGTAGTAGGCCCCGACTCCGGTATCTGCGAGATGTTTGATCTCAAGGGTGCACCAGACGCTAATACGTTTCTAACGATGATAAGCTGCTTCAACCCGGAACAGTTGGAGCGGGAGCTAAGCTGTGATGTCGCTTACTTAATACTTCGAAGTAAAGTGCATTTAGCTTTGATGTTTCTGCCAAGTTTGCATTGATATTTTTAGTGGAACCTACAATTTCGAGGATTTGGTAGGCATTAAGATGAAACGGTGGGCGCGTCGAGATCAGGTGAATCCCTGAAATATTGTGTGTCAGACGATTTATGTTGAAATTGCATTGGGGGTGATACTGTCGTGTTCGCAACTTTGGAAATCGAAGCGAAGGACGAGACACCGTTACAAGCCCATCGACAAGAAATGACCGACCTGACTTTTGCTGCTGAAGCGAAGCATCAAGAATTGACCGAGCACACTTCGCTGTTTCCTGCTACTTAAGGTTAGCGACAACCTCATCAACAACCCTCACAGAGCACAAAGAGATACAGAGGAAGAGGAAATGAATAATTTAATGGAAACATGGTGTCTACAGTAGTACACAATAAAAGACATTCTACACTTACAACCTCGTCTATAACTTCTTAATTACCAAGTATTCGTTGATCGATCGTGAAACCATATAAAGTTGGTAATATAGTAATATGGCGAGCAATACCGAGCGAGCAAGGAACGTATCAAAGCAGCACAGAATCGCTACTATCAGCTCACAGGCGACGCTCGCTTGTCATACCGAAAGAGCTACGAAGCGTTAGCCCAAAACAGAACTTAGCGAATCTGAAAGCGAACCTAATAATGAAACCGAATATAACTAAATAATATTTTTTTTCTCAAATAGAAAGTCAATCCCAATAATCCTGGCGTCACCTCCCCGTCGTCGATTATTCGAAAATTTTTTTGCGTCAAACTTACGCTGGTGTCGATTCTGCTTAATGCGGTTTATATCGCACAGGTTGTGAGGTTTTCCATTCCGCTTGATTCTCACATTTACGGGACTGGTACTGAAATCGTTAAAAATCACAAAAATAATCAGTGCGAGCTCGTGAATGTCGAAAGCTTCCCAGCTGAGCCAACGATCTGTAAACCAGCTCAGAATGCAATACGATCACTGCTTACGAAGTATTCAATCAAGAATACTGACCAGTACGTTGATCACTTTAACATTTATGGCTTTAAGGCCATCCTTAAGCCTGCCGCGACTCAACACGGAGAGAATACTGTCGTCACGTTCGAGCACATCCCGGTGTCTGTATTCGTAGCTGACAGTTTAACCGAGGAGGCGCGTTGCTTGTAAATGATGATCCGGAGATGATACGTACGGATATGATCAAATACATCGGTGGTGTAACCCTGAAGATCAAGCAGTACAATGCCAATAACTCCAAGTCGCTTTTACAGAAATCATCAACGCTCACGGTTTGACAGGTATGGAATTCCAAGGAATCAATCTTGGTAAGACCTACAAGATGTCTGATGTCAAGGGTTAAAACGAACAAGGGGAGTATGCCAGCTTCTTTGACTTTCATAGCAGCCGTGGCTTTGGTAAGCAAAGGTCTAATTACTGGAAGCTAGAACAGCATATTGGTCAGGTACCAGTATTTGGTTTCAAATCTGGTCGATACGATATTATTTTAATAAAAAGGAGTAGTTTGCCGTTATTGGTACCGATAACTGTCTTTAAGAATCCCAGCAGCATGTGCATTGCTCCATCGGACATGAATCTGCTCGATATAGGCAACTATGTACCAGCTGGTACCAGCTACGATAAATATCTTGCAACGTATCTCGGTGGCTGAAATGTGATGACAAAATTAAATGTGTCTGTGGTCTTGGTAAGGGTCTTTCCCCTTATGAGTTCATAACTGCCTTCAATGTACTAAATCAGACTACCATCCCACCTAAGTCAGCTTTTTAACGAAGAACAAGCATCACCAAGGATGACTACGAACGAGTAAAGTTCGTGTGGGAGTACTACGCGTTGAAATCGATCAAGGACCTATTGATCTGTTACAAAAATAGCGACGTAGTCCCATGTATTATGGCTATCAAGGCTCACCGTGAAGGTTTTAAGCGTTTCGACCTGGATATGTTTGCTGATGGGGTGTCCTTACCTGGTCTTTTAGAGAAGGTCATGTATCATACCTGCTTGAATAATCTCCGATATCCGGATAAGAAACTTAATAACGCATTCCAATTTCCAGCTAAGCGCATGGCTAACTACAAGAGTCAGGATGCTAAGGCAAAGCATAAATTTGGTATGACACTCGAGCACGTGAATACATTGCTGCAAAAGCAAAAGTATGTGTGTGATCTATGCTACTGTCAGCCGACTGCTGATACCGCTGCAGCGGATCGTATTAACAAAAATGTTGGTCACATTTACGTTAATATCTTGGTCAGCTGCGTTAAACACAACAATGCTCGAAAAGTCATGTCGCTTAATGGGTCTCGGTATAAGAAGTTGCTTGAGTCCAACTCGGATAGACTCGTCTACTCGATCGACAAAGAGGAGAAGGATATCTACTCTAAGATGAAGGCCAACATTGCTGGAGGTCCATTTATTATCGTCAATCGCTTCGCTAAGCGTAATATAACGAAGATTTTCAATGGGAAGGTATGTAAGAAAATTATAGGATTCGACGCTTACGCTCTATACCTATGGGCCCTTAGTCATGAGATGCCATGTGGTCGATTGACTACGGTTGAAGCGTATGATGGTATCATCGATGA